AAGTGATCGAGAGGTGCGGCACCGAACAGGAGAAACAGTACGCCAAACAGATCACACCCGTACGCAAACGTGGTAATTACCTGCTCTGCACACTCCTGTTGGGCAACGTGTTGGTCAACTCGACGCTCACCATTCTGTTGGACGACCTGACCAGCGGTATCGTAGCCGTAGTGGCCTCCACCCTATCCATCGTGGTGTTCGGTGAGATCATACCGCAGGCCCTGTGCTCGCGACACGGCCTGGCGGTGGGCGCCCGTACTGTGTATCTTACGTACCTGTTTATGGTGTTGACGTTTCCGCTCTCGTATCCCATTTCCAAGGTTTTGGATAAAGTTTTAGGTATTAATAACTGCTTTTCACCATTGCATGGGTGGACGGGGGAGAGCTCCGGGAGTTTTGAAGCCATTGGTTATCAATAAATACTATATTAACACCATTTTCTTTGGGCACCGATAGGCGAAGAGATTGGCAACGTGTACGACAGGGAACGGCTGATGGAATACATTCGGGTGACCAAAGACCACAACCGACTGGACGCGGATGAGGTGAACATCATATCGGGTGCTCTGAAGCTGTCGAAGATGAAAGTGGTTGAGATCATGACACAGATTCAGGACGTGTTTATGCTGTCCTACAATACGGTACTCAACTTCGAGGCCATGAATACCATCAACAGTCAGGGCTACTCACGAGTGCCGGTGTTCGAGGGCGACCGCAACAACGTGGTGGGCATTCTGCACGCCAAAGACCTGGCCTTCACCGATCCCGACAACAATATGCCCATCAAAGCCCTCATCGAGTTTTATAAACACCCGCTCTATTTCGTCTACGAAGACGTGACGCTGGATGTGATGCTCAACGAGTTTAAACAGGGTATGTGTGGCCATAGTGTGTCTGAAACGGTGGTAATTAATGGTTAAATTTGTTTGTTTTGATGGATAGGTAAGTCTCATATGGCGTTCGTGCGTAAGATAATCGACGACGGTATCAACGATCCGGTGTACGAGTTGGCCGGTGTGGTCACACTGGAGGACGTGATCGAAGAGCTGATCCAAGCGGAGATCAACGATGAGACGGACGTCATATCGGATAATCGCCGCAAACAGAAGCGCAAAGAGGCGGTGAATCGACCGAATTATTCAGATTTTATGAAACTGGGCGGTGGAAGCGATCACGACACCAAAAAGCTGACCTCTCAAATGGGACTCGCGGCCTACAGATACCTGTCCACATGTAAGCACTCTTACCCTACACTAACTTCAACGCTAACTTTTATATATTGAATTTGTCATTAAATGTGTGTTTACTGGCCCTCCAGTTGTGGATCCATTCACTCCTGAATTCCTAACGGAGACTGTATTGAAGAGATTGATGTCGCAGAAGATCTACCGCGAGATCAAAGTGAAGCCTAACGTGCAGTTCGACAATGTAGACAAAGTGCCGGCCGATAAACGGCTTTACACGTACGGAAAAGCGGCCGACTATTTCATATTGATTCTCGACGGCAGAGTCCGAGTCATCATTGGTAAAGAGCAGCACTCCTACGAATGCGGCGCTTTCCAGATCTTCGGCGTGTCTGCGCTTAAGATGGCCTCCGCTGACGATAAAGTGGCCAAATCTAATTCGATGGGACGCCTGTCCATCACTGAAGGTATGTCTAGTAGAGGGAGAGAGAGAGAGAGAGAGAGAGAGAGAGAGA